TAGATTTGTTAGTCAAATACAAAGTAAAAAATAAAAAAAAAAAAGAATTTAAGACTGTTTGGAAACTAAATGAATTGAAAAAAAAAAAAAAAAAAAAAAAAAAACAGATACCAATATTAAAAAAAGAAACATTTTAACTTAAAAAAACAAATTGTTAGCTAAAAGAAGCTATAGAAATATTTTCTTGAAACTGCCTAAAAAAAATATTATATTTCAAAAACAATATTTTAGCCTACAAATATATATAAACAAAATTTCATTCGAAATATTTATTTGAAAATCTAAAAAGCTAATTCTGCTAATAAAAAATATAAAACTTTTCTCTCTGGATTTTTCAAAATTTAATGAAATGCCACATATATTTTTATATATGAGTATATTTCTATAAATTCATTAATAAATCGATCACTATTTATTTAATTACTTAAATCCGTCAACAAATTTTGGTTTGGTCATTAAACGTTTTGCCCTTCACTTAAAAAAATTGCAGCAATTACTTTACTTTTTGTTAGTCAAAATATTATTTTTAGTTCATTTATTGATTTGGCCTTAATTGAAAATTTGCCCAACCAACAAAAATTATTTGCCAATTTAAAGTTGAGCAACAAATAAATAACGTATTATTATTGATATACGTAACTTTTGTGGGCTAAACGAAACCCTTTCACCCTAAATTACATTAGGGCGTAACTTTTTAGACAATACCTGAAAATTATTCTGTTAACTGAAGTTGAGGAGACATAAGAATTGATAGACGTCTTTAACAGATATCGCAAAAGCTATCAGAGCTATTAGATACCCTGTTCTTCTAACAATTTTTTAAGGGCTTTAAAAAGTAAACATTTTTGAATTCTTTACCGAGTTCTATTTTTAAATATAAATTCTCAATTTATATTTTTATTTATTACCAATTAGTTTTTTTTTTTTAATTTTTTCATAAAACAAGATATAAAATATTTAGATTTAAAACTATTTTAGTTTTTATGTTATGTTTTTAGTAGTTCTCGAATAACAATTTATATTAATTGTGACGTAAAAATATATATTCAGTATATCAATCCATATATTACTTATTTTCTAAACTCTTGTTAACCTTTTCAGATCTTTGCTGCGATCTTCGCTGTGGCCTACTGCGCGCCCAGTCCCGGTTTCTTTGGCAAACAGTAAGTGAACCATAAAACTCTTAGCCATAAACCGCTTAGCTAACATTACGTATAACAATCAATATAAAACGTTTGCCATTAAACCAGCTACCATCTAACATATACCATCTACCACCTGGTAGAGCGTCATCTGAAAACGTTTTTCCGTGTTGTTGTGCAATCGAAGTTTGATTTTTAATCGATTTTGCTTATGATCGGCTTGATCTCTTGTATGGCTTTTTAAATGCTATAAATTATGAATGTAATTGAATCCAAATGAAGCAATCACACAATATAAATAGAGATAAGCTAACACTCCGAGCCCTACATATATACACATACACATATGTATATATAGTGAGATACTGTTGCTGTTATTGTTATCGAGTTCAATTGGCAGACAGTGAACCTGGTCGCAACGCTGAGGAATTTTCGAGGCGACGCTTGGCATTTGCTGGCCTGCGAATTATAATGCGCACATAATTGCATTGAATCAATTAAAAATTCCGAGTATCGACCATGCGGCGACTGCTACGAACTCTCTCGGAACTCCACGTCTGAGCCAAGTTCAAGCAACTTGCCAACGGAGCGGGCCGCTCAAACAAGTCGAGACGACGGCCAGCCATTAGCTGATTAGCTAATAACATTGAGTGCCAATTGGACAGTGCACCAATCGATCTCCCCGCCTTCACCTTCCTCGCCTTCCCTCCAACCATATCATTAGCTTAGACATTTACATTTTCACTTTTATTCACTTTCCCATTTGATTTGCATAGCAATTCTTACTTCACAATAGGACTCATTTGCTCTGATTAGTATTTATATTCCAATATAATTTTATGTGAATTCATACCTTATCCGTATGGATTTCATAGTAAAGGATGCTAGAATCCTTGTTCACATGATTCCTTTTGATCTTCTCCAGCAAAATTCTTTTCCGTATCCCTGCTATTGAAGCTCATTATTAGCCTTTAGTTTTATTCGCAACTATCCAATATGATTTCTTAGCTCATACGAATTTTGAATAATCCAATTAAGCTGTCATTTCATACAAGTACTTAGTTTTATCCACATCCACATCCAATCCAATATTTCACTGTGTTTTCTGATAATAATTCTTATCCTCTCTCAATTCAAATCCCACCAGTGAACATCATACAATCCATGTGCCCTACAAGGTGCACACGGTGCATCATCATCATGTCCAGAAGATCGCCGTGCCTGTGGTGAAGCACGTGCCCATCTACAAGGAGGTGCACGTGCCTGTCATTAAGGAGGTGCCCGTGCACCATGTGCACCACGAGGAGATCGTGCCCGTGCATGTGCACGAGGATCATCACGACTATCATCATGACTTCCACAAGGGCTGGTCATCCTCCCTCTCCCATGGCTGGTAGAGCAACAGAGATAGGCATAGAGATAGAAAGAGCGAGAGAGCTACCGCCGGCTTTGTAAATATCTGTACAATTTAGTGAAAAGACAAACGCATTAAACATTTTAATTTAATGATTGTAAATAAAAGTGAGATTTTTGTCGATTGTAAACTGGAAATGTGCTTGTCGTTTTTCTTTTTAATTAGTTTTGTTTTTCGGTTTGTTTTATTTATTTTTTTTTTGGGTTATGTAAGTGTGTGCTCGGCTCTAGTTGGTTTTAATTTGCAGTTGCACTTGACCTTGGCCAGTTGGCTGGTCGCTTGATGTGGCCGCCGCCACTGCCGCCACTGCCACCGCCGCTGCCGTTTTGCAAGAACGACTTTCACAAAATCCAACTCGGGGTCAACCAGCAACAACAACAACAACAACAACAACAGCAGCAGCAGCAGCGGCAACAGCGTCAACCTATGTTGCTGCCCAAGCAATCGAGCTGTGCTGATCACCTGTCCAATTCCTTGTTCCAAGCACGGAACTGGAATCGCTCGCTCGCCAGCTCGCTCGCTTGTAACCTGATAGCTCCATTGCTGGGCGGCACGTGGGCGTGGGCGTGGCACATTCTTAGTACATGACACAAGGTTTTTTTTCGGTTAACGCTTTTATGACAAAACAAAATTAACTAAATTTTGTGTAATTTTGATTTGAGAGCCAAGGACTAATTTTTGTAATTAATTTAATTGATTTACCAACTAAGGGTCAGAAGGTCGTACAATAATATGTATTTTTTTTTTTTTTTTTTTTTTTTTTTTTTTTTTTTTTTTTTTATGAGATGTCTAAAATAGATTTAAGGACTAATAATTAGAAAATCAAAATATTGTAAGTTATTAATATTTTTTATAAAATTTTTAATGCATTTCAACCTTAATAATTTGTTAAATTGATTACAAAAATCTTATGGAGGGATTCGGACCAAGGACTTCTACTGAGCTCTAGGCTTATCAATATCATAGACTCAAGACTATTTCGATAAAAATATTTTTATAGTTATTATTTTGCACAATCAGCAAGTAAAATTAATATAATATAGTTAACTTATAGTGGATATTAAAATCCGACAGTAATATATACATATATATATTTATACATAAACTTCACACTTGTGCTTCACACGTGTAAAAAGGGTAAAAAAAATAGCAAAATTGTTAAACCAACATATCTTAACATATTTCATTTGGTATTTATCGTGAGCTTCAATTACATCAGCCTCCGCACTGTCTGTGGCTACGTTAAATGGTGATCTATTGCTCTAAGAGGGGGACAGACAGCGAGGCGTGGCTTATGACAAAGATTGTATTCAACTTTTTAAAACGAGTATTTACTTGAACTTAATGATAGCAACTAAAGAGTGGAACATAAATCAAATTGGAATCGAGCAAAACTGACTTCGATTGTGTGCACTCTCCATTCCAATTAGATGACAATTTTAAATGAATTGGGGCAATTTTTATAAGAATTCGATCGTATACACATTTATTTATTTACATACATCAAGAAATTACCATGGCCACAAATCAAGTTAGAATAGAGAACTTCAGATTGAACTCAATATCCAAAAATTTCAAGAGTTCATATGGTATGACATACAAAAATCCGGTTAAGTCCAATACAATGCATTATATATGTATATGCAACCATAGATCAATGAAATACAGACTTAACCATAAATCAAATAGAATAGCGAATTATAGACAGCAATACAATAGAACAAAATTCAAAGACTCATTGTGTAACACACAAAAATCCAATTAGACCCGTTAAAGCAATTGGTAGGTCTCATATATATCAATGTAAAGTCAATATTTACCAATTTCTTTAACTCTATAATTTTCTAAATTTTAAATTTCGTTTTGTAGGGCATTCAAAAAAAAAAATATATATA